CAGCGCAAATTTGGTCAATTAGATTTTGAATATCTATTAGGACCTCGCCTACATTAGCAGGACAAGCAGTAATGTTGATGCGATTAATCAACTTTTTCACCCCAAAGTGAGCAGTAACATCCGTTTTCAGCACTTCGAACAAATCAACTTCGAATACAGCTTTTTTCACTTGCTGAAGGAGTTCGTCATAAGAAGCTTCACTAGCGCTGGCGCCAGATTGAGTCGAAGTCCCAGAAGCGTTTTTGTCTAGAGAAGAATCCCTTAGAGCCATCATTAAATACACATATTTTAGGGGATCACTCTTCTTTAGCACTATTTTTCCTCCTCAATGAGTGTTGGAGTCAGGATGGGATATGGAATTGATCGAGCTTGTATGCTTGGTTCGTCAGTAGTATCAGGATGTGTCGGATGAGTATCTTCAGGTTGTGGTTCAACCTCCTCCATGTCCTCATCTTCTCGAAAGTATGTCTCAGCCCCATCTGAATATTGCTCTTCGTCCTCGGCATAATCCACAGGAAATTGAGCCCTTTTTAGAGAAGAATCTCTAGGGATGCTTTCAGAATCTTCATTTTCCTCAAATATTTGCTTTCCAAACACTGGCAAGTCATCTTCACTAGGAGAGGAAGTCTCTTGTTTGACTTGGACGTCACCTGCTTTAGATTGGGGAGCCGTAGTCGAATACCCTTTATTTTGGACAGCACCACTGGATTTCCTGAGTATGAGTTAGTTTACCTTTTGGGACGTTTCCCTGCACAAGGAAAAAAGCTTTTGTTAAATGTTCATTTATTTGAGCAGTGTCGAACATGTTGTTCGAATAAAAGTCAGTCCACCAGGTATAGAAGCCTTTGGTCATGTAGAAAGCAGGATGATAAGGAATGAGACCAAATTCAGCAAAATTAGCATGGTACTCTTGGTGTTTCTGGATATCTTGAACGGAGTAATCTACACCTGCAACGCAGATCTCATGTTTTCGACTGAAAAGAGGCTCAGGGATAAGTTGACACAATCCAAATTATCGAGAGACAAAGTTGGGTTGATAAGATAATAAGCAAACATGTCTCTTCACTGGTAAGATCCTAGAGACTAGAAGTCTAGGAAGAAGGAATGTGCGCCATATGTTTTCAATGCCAGTGTATGCATTCTTCACAATATCTTCAATTGACAAGGTAAACCAGGAGGGACCATGAGTTCTACTGGCGAAAGGAGCCATAGTGGGAGTGAAATTATGATGTTTCGAAAACATCAACATATATTTAGTGAGGCAAGATTGAAGGGTCTCAGCATCATCACTGGGAGTTATTTGTAAGAGTCTAATTCCTTCAATATTTCGACCTGCTATTTTGGGGTCCTCTTCATCAATATTTCCAGCTGTTTGGAGAGAGGGTTTAAAAGTGGCACTTAGCCACAATTGAAGTAGCCAGTAAGGTCCAGATAGAAGTAAGTTGGTACCTGCTTCATAATCTTTTAGTTTGGCAGCAACGGCCCCTAAACTTTCATACAAACTGGATAAAAGTAACTCACTTAAGCATACCTTTCGACCAGAATGTAACTGGTTCGCCAAGGTTAGAAATCTCTTATCCACTTGCAGAGATTTGCAACAAAAAATGAATTTAGATAACCACAGAGCTAAGAAAGCTATATGCTCAACATCATAAACCTCTTCACCGTCCACATGATATAGATCTATGTAAGTACTAAAAGAGGCATTTTTAACATTAAAGTCAATGGTGTTTTCCGACTCCAAATAGGGATCAAAATCCTCTCCAGTAGGAGGAAGTCCAGTAATGGCAACTATATCAAAGAAGGTGGGAGTTATCATCCCACAAGGGAGGTGAAAGATATTATAGGTACTATCCCAGAAATACATGGAAGCTAATAGAAATGGCTGACAATAACTGAAGCCTAATTTCGACATTTGAATTAGGTCAAAAATTCTCAATTCTTTTCAAGCTTGAGTTTTCTTCTTATCAACCTTAGTAAGCCAAGCTAAGTAAGATTTATCTAAGGTTGGACATGATCTAAAAGGTCTAAAGCTCTCAGTTATATAATACAATTGGAAAGCTTCTCTCTTTATCTTAGGGTTTGAAGAACTACTTTCAGAAGTTTTCTTAGAAGACTTTTTATGTTTCTTGGTGGAATCCTCGATGTTCTCTTCAGAAGCCACGGTTTTATTTGCTAAAGGTTTAGTAACATGATAAGTTGGAAAAAAATTCCACATATTTTTCTAAATCGCCTGTAGCGATTAAAGGCCCTAAGAAACCTAAGGTTTTACCAAAAAACAAAGAAGGAATTAGTACCTGAGAAGCATAAATAACTCTCTGTTCCCTAGTGAGTTTGGGAGGTGTGATAAATTCTTGATTCCTAGAAGTGATGATTTTGCTTGTTGGTACGTTTTGAGAAGATGAACCTTTAGAGATTCCAAATTTCTCAGCATGTTTTGAATCTTGTTTACCGGAAAACATTGTTGTTGATTTGAAGAACTGATGAAATTTTCAAGAAGGAATAAGAGTGAAAATCAGAGAGAGTATGAAGATTTCTGAGTTTGCAAAAGTAGAAAGAGGAATAATAAAAAAGGTAACTTTTTTATAATGGTAAGTGGAGACGTGGGAGGTTACACCTCAGGAAGTTGGTGGGGCACGTGTCAATATCTGACGGAGGAAAGTGAAAGATCACTATTCATGTCCTTGGAAGTTGGTATATAATGATGGTGAAAATGTCGCACGCATGCCTTGATGAGACGTTTTGGAAAAAGGCAGTCATGATTAACTATGCCGTCAGGAAATGAAGGAAATGAAAGGTTGCTAGTCGAAATCTGGTGATTATAAAAAATGGCCATTTCTGCATTGATTTAAAATGGACATTTATTGGGGGCAATTTGTTAGCTGAAGATTTTGATATTTGATAAAAATATGAAAGTTGATGTGAGAAGGTCATGGTCTAAAAAAAATAACATGAAATTGGACCTTACAAAGTTATTTTTGTAAAAAGAAAAAAACTTATGATTCGATATGTCGAAAGAGGAACTTAAAATAATATTTCAAGATATGTGAGATACTTCGACAGTCACGTTGGTTGAATTTAAAGTTGAGTTCAAAAAATCTTCGAGCGGGAAGTTTAAATTTTAAACTAATGCATTTCGCCAGAAAGACGCGTGGAAATGCCAGAATGTCTGCATGTAAAAGGTGTGGAACGTGGCATAATCTCATAGAAAGACCGTTAGGGTCGAATTAGTATAAATAGGAGTCTTAGATGTTAGGATTCGAGGTGTTCACATCTTTGTACAATATACTCAAATACTCAAAGTACCAGTGTTAGAGAAACGAGTTAGTGAGACATCTACGTATGATGCACCATATTTACATTCGAAAGTTATTTACATTTAATGAAATTTCTTCATGTCATTTATATTCTTTACGATTTACAGTCTAGAATAGTTTTCTATTTTATTGTTTTTATAAGAACACTTTATTTGATATCAAAGTGATTCTCTTCATTTAAAGTTATCATCAAAACTTTTTTCCTAAAAACTAGAACACAATAGTCCTGAGATCAAGTAACTGAATCTTTTTTTAGAGATTTAGAAGATCAGCGGTTGTTTATCAAATTACAGGGTAAATACTTAGTAATTCAAGAATTACTTTTATACCTTTACAATACACTGATACTCAAGCACAAATCATGTGAGCTGTCACATTTCCCATATATCACTATCATGAAGCTTCAAGATCCCTTACTTGATTCATTATTGATTTAACACTTCATCTGGGACTTGACTTATTCTAACTAATGAAACTTGGCATAGATTATTTGATAGACACCGTCATGAGAGGTTGGTGGACCGTAGATAATCAATGTGGACTTCACCTAACGTCATTTGACATTAGGTAATGTCATCATCAAAACCACCAAATTTGTTTGCAAATATGTGTACCTGCAAGTACATCACACTTGTTTTCTTCAACAAATTTAAAAATCTCACATGTATTGTCGTAATTTCTTAAACCGCTCTATGTCTTCTTCCAAACCACCATTATCATGTTTCCACCAAAGTTTCACAAAATCTTCTTCAAACTGATTTCATCCCCCTTAATTAGATCACACACTTTAAAATAAGATCAAAAATATGAATCTTTGTCATTAAATACATAAAACTCACCACCATCTTTTACAAAACAACCCTTAATATAGAATACAATCTTAAATAAGCTCATGTTTTATAAAGAAGTCAAAAGGTGATATTCAAATTTGTTATAAAGGGAAATCCTATAGTCTAATATACAAAGTATAAACTATTGTCGAATACAATTTCATTTTAGAAATCTAATAAAATACGGGAGTAAGAATTTCATGAAAAACATACAATACACAATCTAGAATGCAATCAAATTTAGTTTAGATATAGCAAACCTACAATACGACATGATAAAGAATGTACAGCAAATCCTACAATATGATACAACGAAGAATTTACAAAAAAAATTTAAGGATATATGGGACCCACCTGAACTGCCAAAAGATTATTGAAAATTTCTTTTTCTACTTTAGGGTAAAAAAATATCTTACTTAATTTCTAAAATATCTTGAAAATCAAAAATATATTTTTGATATCCACTCACACACATATTTATTTGTTTTTGAAATTCACTATATTGTACAATAAAAAATTTTTTGGAAATTTTTAAAAATACACTTCCGATTATGAAGGGGATGAAATAGACAACTTGGAGTTTCAATAGAAATAGAATTCACACTAATAATAAAAAGTAATTGTGCAAATCTCTCAAGAAAACTAATTTGGGGCAACTATTTCTTAAATAGAGACAAATTTGAGGCAAAGAAACAAGTTTAAGAATTGACCATTATTCTTCCAATATATAATTTCATTCTATATAATGAAAGAATTATTTATACATACATGAATGTCACACAACTCAAAGGCAACTTTAGGTTGCCAGAATAAATTTCATCTTAATACAAGGGAATCAATAATGTTATTAGAACTAATTGAAAAGCTCTCCAACTTCCTTCTTCATCATTCCCTTAATCTGCATAAGAATAAAAAAATCAGTTACTTATATGAGAAGAGTTTATTAGATTCTTATTCATGAATAATGCAAACTGAAACAATATGATAATAACACCTGTTTTTCAGAAAGTCCAATATCCTTCAAATCATCAAGCTATTAATGAAAAATTCACAATACAAAATTAGTTACACCTTTAAACTAATTATTATGATAAAAAAACTATAATAATATATAACAAACAGGAAATTATTTTAGGACACATACACTCTTGAAAGGTTCCGGCGATTCTTCACGAAGCTCGAGTATATAGTTTGCTCTTTTCTCTCCAATTCCCTGTAAGAAAAAGTCCAGGTCGATTAAAGCACAAGATATATATAAGAAAAAAAAGTTAACTTAATATTAAAAGGTGAAACACATTTCTAACCTTTAACTTCTTTAGTTCATCCCTGACAATTTTAATATAAAAGAAAACAAGAAGTAAACAAGTTAGACTTCTCATAAAGGTATGAAACCATGTGCATATAAAAGGTATAAATATTAATTACATGGTCAAATTGTGATCTTTTATACTTTTTACTTATTATGCAACAAGTGATTTTGACAGAAGAGGGGTAAGAAAGTGTGTGTAAGACTTTAGGATTGAATTATTTGGGCTTATAAAAACGGCTTATGACAATAGTTTGTAACTTATATGAAAACAATTAAACTATTCCTATCTTTCGCTACAGAAATAATTTTACATAAATGTTTATCCTAATGATAAGCGATTGTGATATAAGCTATAAATAAGTTGTTTATCCAAACATGAAAATGATATAAAAGAGAAGATATATACATTTCTAACAAAAAATTGAACTTGTGTATACACAAAATGTCCACTTACTTTTCCGCTGTGTTTAAAATTCTAAGGTAGTCTTTAACAAGAGAATTCTGCAATTAAACAAAATTATGAGTTAAAACAATGAAAATAAACTTTAGAAGAAGGTCCATTAACGATACTTATGAATAGATCAAACCTTCATTCCAGAACCATGCAAGTTAAATGTTTCCCAAGGACTTTTGGTATTCATTACATCTCGTATGTCAATATCAGGAGTTCTTGGTTCTGTAATTTCAGTAGAATTCTGCAATTAAACAAAATTCTGAGTTAAAACAATGAAAAAAAAACTTAGAAGAAGGTCTATAAGTAATATTTATGAATAGATCACACCTTCATTCCAGAACCATGCAAGTTAAATGTTTCCCAATGACTTTTGGTATTCATTACATCTGATATGTCAATATCAGAAGTTCTTATGTCAATATCAGGAGTTCTTGGTTCTTCTGTAACTTCAGTAGAATTCTGTAATTAATCAAAATTTTGAGTTAAAACAATGAAAATAAACTTAGAAGAAGGTCTATATGTATATTTATGAATAGATCAAACCTTCATTCCAGAACCATGCGTGTTGAATGTTTCCCAAGGACTTTTGCCATTCATTACATCTGGTATTTCAATATCAAGAGTTCTTGGTTCTGTAACTTCAGTAGAATTCTGCAATTAAACAAAATTATGAGTTAAAACAATGAAAATGAACTTTAGAAGATTAACGATATTCATGAATAGATCAAACCTTCATTCCATAACCATGCAGGTTGAATGTTTCCCAAAAACTTTTATTATTCATTACATCTAGGTTTTCAGTATCAGAAGTTCTTAGTTCTGCAGTTTTAGTAGAAATCTGATTATCATCCGGTGAAATGAATTTCTCCTCTAGTAACTGCATGCATAATGGAGTTGATGAAACGAGAGATTGAAGTTCACGCAATTGAGAACTAATGGGTGGTGAAAAATCTTCATTTTCCATTAAGTTGTTGTTCTCCTTGTTCATGTTTTCACCTGTAATGACAAAAGACATCTATATATGTCAACAGATTTGTAAAAGAGTGTATATGTCAACAATTCATTTAACCGCATATACCTTCGTTAGCTATTGACAAATCTTTGGAGTAATTAATGAGATAATGCATCTCCTCTTTATCCTCAAAAGAAGTACCCTAGTGAGACAAAAATAGTTAGTATTTCATATTTACTGACTCTACCAGAAGAATATGATAAAGTTTTGTTATAAAAAAATATCATAGAATGATTAAATGAAAAGATGAAAACTGTAAACTGACGGAATTAATAGAAAAAAATCACCTTTTCCACTATGGGATCAAGTTCCACTTCACTGCTAGCGTTCAAAGATGAGTCAACCTGCAGCAGATACTTATTAGTTTCCTGACCAACATGTTTTAACTTATATTCTACAAGATCCATTACATTCTTTCCTGACCGAACAAGCAACATGTTTTAACTTATATTCTACAAGATCCATTACATTCTGTATCATCGTATTGAGTTTGACATTATTATTAGCATCTGCAAGTGAGTTGTCAAGCATAGAACATTTTCCTAGAGTTTAGTTCAACACGATATCCATCTTCTGATAATGAATTGTCATTCATTAGATATGCCAATTGATGTATTGAGCTTTCTAATTGGTTTTCCATTTACGACATAATCCCAAAAAAAAAATTAATTATAAAATATGCATTACCAGTAAATTTTCTAATGTGTTGGTTACATTGTGTGGAATAATCATAACAGAATCAAAATATTCTGTTTGTACAGTTCATTAAAGATTAGGAAACTTGAGAACAGCCAAGTAATGTCATGGCTGCTCAATACCATGACAAATGAAATTGGTGAAAATTTCATGTTCTATGACACTGCAAAAGAGATATTGGATGCAGTGAAGGAAACATACTCAAATGTTGACAATACATCTGTCGTATTTGAGATTAAAAGCATTCTTCATGACCTTCGACACGGAGAATCTTCTGTTACTGAGTATTTTAATATACTTAACAAACACTCGCAGCAACTCGACATATATGAAGAGGTTACATGGTGTCGTACAGAAGATCAAAAGAAGTATAAGGAACTGGTGGAAAAAGATAGGATTTACAAATTCATGTTGGGGCTAAACAAGGACCTAGATGAAGTTCGTGGAAAGATCCTTGGAACCAAACCACTTCTCAAAATTCGAGAAGCCTTTTCAGAAGTGAGAAGGGAAGAAAGCAGGAGGAAAAACATGTTGAGAACACCCAACTCAGTTTCGTACAGCGAGAGCTCTGCAATGGCAGCAAGAGGGAATCAGCCTCGGCCACCACAAAAGAAAACCCGCCCCTGGTGTGAGCAAGAGACCAGACCACACAAAGGAAACATGTTGGATCATCCATGGAAAACCTTCAGAGACCAAATTGTTCAAAGGCAAGGAGGGCAGAGGTAACACAGCATTTAACAATCAAAAAGTTGAGGTATACTCTAACTCATCTCTTTTTAGCAAAGAACAAATGGCTCTTCAAAAACTCTTTCAGCAAACCATGTTAACGGCAGAAAAGGGTGGTACTGCCGTAGTGGCTCAAAGAGGTAATTACTTACATGCTCTAAACACTAGTAAGGAAAAAACAAAATCATGGATTGTTGACTCAGGGGCTTCAGATGACGTGACTGGAAATTTTACTCAGTTTAATAGTTATTCTCCATGTCCATATAACTATAATGTTCGAATAGTTGATAATACACATTCTAAGGTCATGGGCAAAGGATCAATTATCATTTCACCAAATATTACACTTGACTCAGTTTTGTATGTGCCTAAACTAGATTGTAACTTGCTGTCTATTAGCAAGATTACAAGACATTTGAAATGTGTTACTAAATTCTTCCCTAACTTGTGTGAGTTTCAGACTTTGGAGTCGGGGAAGACGATTGGCAATGCTGAAGAGTGTGCTGGACTCTACCTCCTTCAAGTGCAAAAATCAGAAGAAAAACTCAAGAATAATTATCATGTTGCAGCTGCAGTTTCAAGTGAGAATAATCCTGTAATGATGTGGCACTATAGATTAGGCCACCCAAATTTCATATACTTGGAAAAAATGTTTCCCTCTTTATTCAATAAAAACAAGGAACATTTGCAGTGTGAAATTTGCCAATTGTCTAAACATACCTGAAACCATTACTCACCCCAATCCTATAAACCCTCCAAACCTTTTTCATTAATTCATAGTGATGTATGGGGACCATCACGAGTCCACAACATTACAGGCTCAAGATGGTTTGTCACACACGTGTCACCTGGGTATTTCTAATGAAGGAAAAATCAGAAGAGAAGTATGGAGAATATTTGAAATTTATCATAAGATGGTACAAACACATTTCCAAAGCAATACTCAGATACTTAGAACTGACAATGATCGTGAGTATTAGAACCTTGCTCTAAATTCCTATCTTCAAAAGGTTGGAATTGTTCACCAAAGCTCGTGTGTGGACGTGGACACTCCCCAACAAAATGGAGTAGCAGAAAGGAAGAATAGACACATTTTGGAAGTGACTAGATCAATCATGTTAGCCACAAATGTCCCACAACACTTTTGGGGAGAAGCTGTCCTTTCAGCAACTCACCTTATAAATCGAACGCCCTCCCGTATCCTTAACTTTAAGACCCCACTCTCCACACTTCAAAACCTATTTCCAACCAGCAAAATCTTTTCCTCTATTCCATTAAAATATTTGGATGCTCAACTTTTGTCCATAACCTCAACCCTCACCGAAGCAAGTTAGACCCAAAATCCATCAAATGCATTTTTCTTGGTTACTCTCCTCACCAAAAGGGATATAGGTGTTACTCTCCCCATACCAAAAAAATTTACCACACTATGGAATGTAACCTTCTTTGAAAATCAACCCTATTACACCAAAATTGGTATTCAGGGGGAGCAATCATACATACATCATATCGAAAATTCAGAATACCAACTTTTGCCTCTTGAACTAGCCGAACCTATGCCTAAACCAGTTGGAAAATTACCAGACCAAACCTCTAACATTCAGCCGAGTGAAAGGACAATAGAAGTTGTGACGAAAACAAGACCAATTATAATCTCATCCACATCTCAACAGGATTGTGATCCAAAAACAGGTAATTGGAAGGGGTTTTGTTATAAAAGGAGGAGGAAGGAGGTAGAGTCAAGCATAGCTCCAATGCAAATCCATGAGATGAGTCAAACCAGACTCTAGAAAATGAAGTTCCCACAGGTAATATTCTTCCTAACTCTGAACATGTTGATACAACAGATATTGATATTCCTATTGCTATGAGAAAAGGGGTTAGAACTTGCACGAAACACCCTATTGAAAAATATATCTCCTATGAAAAACTATCACAAAGTTACAGGTCCTTTGTAGCAGCTGTTGACAACATCGAAATTCCAAATAATATTCAAGAAGCATTGTAGAAACCTGAATGAGCAGCAGCAAGCAGCTATAACAGAAGAAGTTCAAGCACTTGTAAGAAATGGCACATGGGAGATCACTGCTATACCAGAAGGGAAGAAAGCAGTAGGATGCAAGTGGATATTTTCAATTAAGCACAATGCTGATGGGAGTATAAACAGGTACAAAGCCCGGTTGGTTGCTAAGAGGTTCACACAATCATATGGGGTGGATTATGAGGAGACTTTCGCCCCTGTTGCGAAGCTCAACTCTGTCCGGGTTCTACTATCTCTGGCAGTAAATCTAGATTGGCCCCTACACCAACTAGATATAAAGAATGCATTTCTAAATGGAGAATTAAAAGAAGAGGTATATATGCAAATTCCTCTGGGACTTGAATCACCTGGAACCTCCAACATGGTGTGTCGACTTCAAAAATCTCTATATGGCCTCAAACAATCACCAAGGGCATGGTTTGATAGACTAACAAAAGTTGTCAAGCAAGATGGTTTTGTTCAATGTCAAACTGACCATACTATGTTTGTCAAGCAATCTTTGGATGGGAAGATAGCTTTGTTTATTGTCTATGTTGATGATATCGTAATTACGGGAGATGATGATGAACAAGTCAACCAGTTAAAGAAACTTCTAGCAAAAGAATTTGAAGTCAAAGACTTAGGACAACTCAAGTATTTTCTAGGGATGAAAATTGCACGAACAAAGAATGGGATTTAAATTCCTCAAAGGAAGTACACTCTAGATTTACTTCAAGAAACAGGTATGCTTGGATGCAAAGCTGCCAATACTCCTATAGAACAAGTAAAAAGGAGAGAAGATGAAAATGTACCCGCTAATAAAGATAGATATCAAAGTCTAGTCGGAAAACTAATCTATCTAACTCACACCAGACCAGACATTGGTTTTGCTGTAAGCATGGCTAGTCGTTATATGTCAAATCCAACTGAAACTGACATGAGAAATGTGAACAGAATTCTCCAGTACCTGAAAGGTACTCCAAGCCGAGGACTTTATTTTCAAAAGAACTCAAACAGAGGTATTGAAGTCTACACCGATTCTGATTGAGCAGGATGTTTATCTGACAGGAAATCGACTACAGGCTACGGCACATTTGTATGGGGTAATATGGTAACTTGGAGAAGCAAGAAACAATCTGTTGTGGCTAGGAGTAGCACAAAAGCAGAATTCAGAGCTATGTCACAAGGTATTTGTGAAGGAATTTGGCTTAAGCGAATGCTAGATAAGATCAAAATTCCTACCAATCACCCCATGAAGATATTATGTGATAACAAGGCTGCTATTAGCATTGCGAAGAACCCGGTACAGCATGATAGAACAAAGCATGTGGAGATAGACCGACACTTCATCAAAGAGAAATTGATCATGAAATTATAAGTGTTAACCATATTCCATCATGCCATTAAACTGCAGACATTCTAACAAAAGTCCTTCCAAAGAACATATACGAGAATATCAGATCCAATCTGGGTATGATAGACATCTACCACCCAGATTGAGGGGGAGTGTGGAATAATCATAACAAAATCAAAATGATTCTGTTTGTATAGCTCATTAAAGATTAGGATTAATGTAATTAACTAGCTATTATTTCCTGGTCCTTTCTGTAATTAGAATTAGCATTCATGGGAAATTAATTCCCCTGATTCTTAGGTCAGATTTTTCTTCCAAATCCTGCCTTATGTATTCTATAAATGCAGTATATGTAATTCTCATCAAATACAAGGAAATATAAAATATATTTCTACACATTGGCAATGGAAATTTCCTGCAAAAATAAAAATCTACTCATTAATAACAAGATGACCCCTAACGGTTGTCCATGTCAGATAAATTAATTGAGAACGAGTGTGTCTAAGTTTTCTTCATGTTAAGATTTTAGGTGATTATTTAACTTATCTACTCTAGAGTTTACTTGGACATAACTTCCATCTTTTGATACTGAATTGTCCTACATTGAGTTTGATACACCAGTTGATATATATGGAGCGTTGCAATTTGTTTTTCATTTACAACATAAGAAAAGAATATATGGAGCGTTGCAATTTGTTTTTCATTTATAACATAAGAAACTAATATATAAATGAGGCATTAGCAATAAAGGCTCTGATGCTTCCGTAACATGAATCAAATTATGTCATATTGTTCTGTTTGAAATATACACTCATGTGTATAAGTATTTAGAGAAAAGAATAAGAAAAGTATACCTTCTCGGCTTTAGCAGCAGAGTGACTGACTTCATCAAACAATTTCCTTCAATCCAAAGGAAAAAAAGAGTCAATATCCATAAACAGATAACAGTAAAAAGCTATTAAGTTTAACGAAATAAAATATGTACAAGAATTCAATACAAACCTTCCTTGTATTTCAGACTTCATAGCAACAACACATGTTTCTTCATCATATATCTGAGATATGGAACCTGGTAATTCCTTTGTTGATGCAGAAACACTTTTGGGTATCTTGTTTTTACGAATAGTCACGAACTGCATTGCTGAACTTGCACTTTCCTTCGCGGAAACTGAGGTTTTTGTCTCTGAATTTTCACTTTTCCTTGTTGAATCTAAGGTTGTTGTCTTCCTTACTGAATTTTCACTTTTCCTTGCTGAATCTAAGGTTTTTGTCTGCCTTACTGAACTTGCACTTTTCTCTGTGGAATCTAAGGTTTTTGTCTGCCTTACTGAGTTTTCACTTTTCCTTATTGAATCTAAGGTTTTTGTCTGTCTTACAGAACTTGCACTTTTCCTTATAGAATCTAAGGTTACTGTCTGTCTTACTAAACTCACATTTTTCTTTGTAGAATCTAAGGTAACTATCTGTCTTACTGAGCTTGCACTTTTCTTTGAGGAATCTAAGGTAACTGTTTGTCTTGCTGAACTTGCAATTTTCTTTGTGGAATCTAAGTTCACTGACTGTCTGGTTGAACTAGCACTTTTCATCGTGGAACCAAAGGGCATCCGATGAGACCTTTGACATGACCGTGATGCTAAGGTAAGCATGTAAACGGTGTCTTGGCAAAATGATGGGTTCTAAGTTCACATTATACAAAAGAAAATGACCAAAATTAAAATTTAATTACTAATTGCAAAATGAAAAAAAAAAAAAAAAAGGTTTGACAAAAAATCAGTCACATAACATACCAAGCACGAAACCAACAAAACTTTGCTAGTTCCCCTCAAGGAGTCCTGCAACATGCGTGTGAGTTTACTTTCCCGAAAGGGGACACGACTTTCATTTGCGCTCAAAGCATAACAAACATTCAGTAAGGCGTAAATTGACTTGTTAATTTTGTTATTCTCAGCAACACCAGAAGCATCGCCACTTTTCTTTCTAGCATCTTCATAACCTTATAATAAAAGAGCAATACTATTATTAGTCAAATTTTAAGATATGTCAACAAAAGCTAGAAAAAATAAGCAAGGGTTACTCGACCATTTTAAGTTGAGCAAGGGTTATACCTGCCATATCAACAAAATTCATTTTGCTCACAAGACCATTTACACTTTTATTATGTTCAAAGACATGAACAATTAATCCCAAGTGGCTTCTCCGAGCAGGCTCAAATCCTTTTTTGGGTGCAGGCTCAAATCCTTTTTTGGGTGCAGCCGTGTGTGCAGAACATGCTGTGATGTATAAATTCTGAAACTCAGCAATGGATTTCACAGGAGTCTGCAAGAAAAAATGCAACAATATTACTTGTCTACTACCCAAGTGTAAAATTTCAATTTTTTCAAATCAGAAAATTAACTACTATAACTTTTACTTGAGTAAGCCCTTTAAACAGAATTCTTCCGTGATCTTCAAGCACCAAAATTGGTGATTGTTCTGGGTTTAATAAATCAGTAGCATGGTCTTGATGATCAACCTCATAGAAAGAAACTGCTATAGATTTTCCATTTTTCTCAGTCACCGAGAGAAACTCCGAAATAGCCAGCATTGCCAAACCCGATTTCTCCAAAGAGCCCTTCAAGAACAAAGTAATTATTAAAATAAGAAACAAAATTTCATAGAAATATTATTCACAAACAAAATTGATTCAAACCTGAATTAATTGAGTTTTGCCACTGCCTCTAGCTCCATGAACAATAACCGTGCTATTAATACCTTCAAAAGCAGCCGAAACAAGAGGTTTCACCTCCTTTGAATAGATTACCTCATTATCTTCATGTTCGTTGTAGCAATAGTCAACTGAATACCGACTGCACCGCAAGAATTAACATTAAATCGAGTAATTGCAATCACCCAATTTAAAAACAACATGTTTAAAAGAAAACAATTACAAATATTTTCATAGATTTGCTACAAAAAAAAAACTACAAGCTTTCACGAAATGTATCCTACAACAAAACTGTTCAAGATTATTTAATAATTAAACAGAAATTGAAACCGGAAAGAGCTAAAACTTCACGATAAAAACATGTTAGTTAACTACATCAACCAAGAGAAAAGAACAAAAGCTTGAAGAGGAGTTGAGAGATATAAACTCTACTAGGAGATTTTCATCATAGCCAACAAATAACTAAATGTAACAAATATTTTACAGTACAGAATCTAATTCTCAATACACAACATACTACTTACCCTATTTTCTCAAATGTGTTACTATTCACCTATGCATTATGAAATTTTACACACAAAAAAAATTATAATTTATGAAAATTACTATTCTCCCCGTATTACAGAACTCAAGACCACAAAGCTTTTATCAATTAGAATTTCTCAATTATCTACAATTACGAATTCTCATTCTTCTACCCAACTTCACTAAGCTAAAACTGCATAATTCATTGAGACACTAACCTTATAACAAACAATACAAAAACTGCATACTTCAGAAACCCTAAATCTCGGCTGAAATTGCATAACTCACAAAACCTAAAACTGAGATTTTTCCTCATTTTTTTCAATTATCATTTCAATGTCCGATTCTCCATTCAAGTATCAGTAATCACAAGCTGAAAAGTGAACAATTAAGAAAGTAATCATACCTAGAAGATTGTTCTTTAAAGGAGATGGTAACTTCCCCGGAAATTTCTGTGGTCACCGAAACCCAGTCGACAGTTCTGGAGGCTTCGAAACTGGTATCTGGATCCGAAAACCCACGAATTTTTGCAACTACCCTAACCTTCGGAGCCGGAATGGTTCCCGCGAAGGCGGATTGGGTGGAAGCCATTCAAAGGATGGGTTTAGTTCAGAGCGAAGTGAACGAAGGAGAGAGTGCGTAGAAATGGAAATAGCCGTTAGAAACAAGGTTTTCGAAATAATAAAGTGTCACAGTTCGGTTTATGTATGGTGTGATGAAAATAATTATTGTGGCAGTTCATATAAATTGTTCCCTAATTCTATTTAAATTTTGTATTCAAAATATCATTTTTCTTTGTCAAACCTTCTCTTACAGCTAATTGTCCAACTTAAAAGTTAATTGAAAGGCTCTCAATAGAACATTATGTATGGATGTGTGTGAATGTTAGAGCTATTAAATTAAAAATTGCATAAAAATTAAATAAAGTAAAGTAGATAAAAATTTGTAAAATATTTTGATTTGATTAATTGTATTTTTTTTTAGAAATGATTAGGGTTAGCTCATATTGCGGTGGACAATGGAGTTTAGCTTTATGTTGGTGGGTCTTTCTTCAGATCATGGTTATGCAATTTTTTTTCTCTTTGGTTAGTGGGAATGTCTGAAATTGCTCCTAGGGTGTCTCTATCTTGTTATGGTTTTTTTTGTTTTGTGAATTTCGTTTATTTTTAACAATTGTGTCTCTCACAATAAATTTATTGTACATCTATTAGAAAATGGTTATTTTCATGCATAAAATATTTCCAATGCATAAAATAAGCCTTTGACTAAATTTCAATGCAAGATGATTTGAATCAAGAAGTTTGTGACTTGAATCAAGAAATTCTAGCAAGCATGATTCAAACCATGTAATTCTTTGATTTGAATCAAGAAGTTTTTTATTTCTCAAAAGTTATTTTTAGGAAACATGATTTGAATCAGACAAAACCTTGATTTGAATCATAAGCAAGTTTCAGAATATGTGATATCATGCTGGAACTGTGAATCAAATCAGAACCCTATTTGACTCGAATCATGAGGTGGTTTAGTTTGAATCATGGTTAGGTTTGATTCAAATCATGAACAAAATATTTGTTTTTCAAATGGCGTTTGGAAATGTGATATGAATCATGATTAAGTGTGAATCAAATCATATTACTCGAATCATGATCCAAATCACCTAAGGAAAATTCTGAGTTTTCTTCTCTTGATTCAAATCATTCTCTTTAGATTTGAATCACTCTTTTGTCTTGGACTCAAATCAAATGGTCATTTTACATTATTTGTGTTGCTTATCTCTAGTACATAAATAATCTCTTTCTCTCTCTAATTTTGCATGAATCACACAATAGTTTTTTTATAAACTTTTAGTGTTCATCATTCACACACAAAAAACTCTTTCTCATAAAAACCTTGAAGAAAAACCTTTTTGAGTGTTAATTTCTTCAGTGAGAAAAGTTGTTTGTGTGAGATTTTTTGAAACTTCATCTTCAATCTCAAACCAAAATACCGTTGATGAGAGTTGCTCAACTCTAGGGGCGAGTTTGATTTCTTGTTGTGAGGAGATTCATGAGATGTTTTGATGTTTTTTCATATAGCACAATCAGGTTGTGATTTCTGAAGATAAAGTTCCAGTGAATAAAAAGAAGAAGTATTCTCTAATAGATTTTTGAGTTTATATCACTTTGTGATACGGTGGGAGAACTGACTTGAGTTTTGCGTTTGTATTCGCACTTGTTCGGTTTAGCAAGAGTCGCCACCGACTTTTTATTTTATCCTAAGGAAAGGTTAAAAAGCACAGGAAAAACCTTTTGAGATGTTTCGTGGGTTCGGGGGGTAGATTATGAAAAGGGAAGGTATTAGCACCCTTTTCATCTGTGGTTATCCATGGGCTCTTAGTTACTTGTTTAGATCAATTGCCTTTGATTTTCAATTGCTTGAAATGGTGGTGTGTGTGTGTGTGTTTTGAAAATGTTTTTGAATAGATGCCTTGTCTAGGCAACCATTGTAATGACTCGTGTTTGAGTATATACAAAGGTGTGTATCTTTTCGAAAAGATGTTTCAAATATTTTTGGAAGTTTGTTTTTGAAAGTTTTTGTGGAGTGTGGTTTCGAAAAGTAGGCAAGTGTGTTTTGCATGTTTGATCAAGTAACTAAGAGTTGTCTACCCCTAAATTTACTCAAAGGTTTTTTCTCATGTTTTAACCCTTTTAACAGTATTGTTCCACCATTGTATTTAGTGGACAATCTTGTGTTAGGATGTTAACGGGACGGGCGCGGGTCATCGTATGGACCATGAATGCAATGGTGCCAAGTGTCTTTGGCAATTTGCTTGAAGGGACTATGATCATTCCGTTTAGGCAACTTTCGAAAGCGTCATCGAGGGACTTATGATCATTTGAATTGTTTTTGCCAAAGAAACTCGACGTGCAAGCATGGTCTATTTTGGAAGGCAACAAGCGGGATTACCCTAGGGGTGCAAGTGTGATTGTGTATTGATTTCATGTATTTGTCTTTGTATTAGGTTATCTAGCGTTTGATTTTATATACATACAAACCCTAGGTCTAACCATGGTATATTTGAAAGCGATAAATTGCGAGAATTTAAAGTCTACGCTATTACAAATAAGTATCCGGGAGTGGGGGTACAAACATTTACAAATGGGGATGAGACTTATTAGGAGAGTAGTGTCCAAATAATTTACAACCAAATCGAATTGCGATCTCAAATGTAATATGTATCAATGTAAAGGAATAAAGCAATGTAAATGTGTCAATGTATTTGTGTATTGGTGTAAGTGTATGAGATTTATTTACAAGTGCGAAAAATGTTAACTTAATGAAAAATTAAGTATTTATTAAGCATTGTTAACTTAATGTAAAAATTTAAGTATTTATTTATTCTTTTTGTATTCTTGTATTTTTTTTAATATGTATAAGTAAAAGATTTTAATAAAAGAAAAGAAAAATGTTTTAAGAAAAATTAAGGTTTTATGTATTGCTTTATGTTTTATGTACAAAAGTTTTAACTAAAAAAAAAAGTTTTAAATTTAAAAATTCTATTATCTATGTTTTTAGTTAATGTACAAAGTTTTTAATTGAAAAAATATTTTAAGACATTCTAATTTTATATATTTTAATTATACTAGCTTAAAAATAAAAAGTAATTAATACCAATTTATATCAAAGAGTTAATGTATTATATAAAAAAGAGTTAGGTTATAAAATAAATGAAAATTAAGAGAAGGTTAAGAAATGTTTGTTAATAGAAAAGAAAAGAGGTTATGTGGGCCTTATGCTTGTCCTTGGCCCAAAACAACATTTTGAAAGAGAATCAGCAGGGGGGGTGCGCGTCAGATTGGAGGGGTCAGGCGCTAAGGTCATTGGGCTTAAGGCTTGTTAGTGGTACAAGGCCCAAGCGCGTTGGACGGCATTTTTGTTTAGGGTTTCCTCAAAGTTTGTTCATTTGGGATTTTAGGGTTAGTGGAATACAGAGGTGCGGTTCCTTCTTTGCTTTCGTCCTCTTCATCTCTTGAGCCATAGCCACTGGACAAAGCCTACTCTTCGCCTAAGGCCATCAAGCGCCATCGCTATCTCCTCCTCTCCATGGATTATTCAAGTGGTGGCTTACAAGGTATTGATTCTGTTCTTTAACGCGTTAGGGTTTCGTGCTTCACATCTTGCATGTTTTCATTCGTTTCTGATTTCTTTTATGTTGTTGTTTGTGTTCTGATTGAGGTACGTGAAAAGAAAAAGATTAGGGATACTACCTTTGGTCCTTGGAGATGGAGAAGGACGGTGGCTTGGAGGCGCTTTGGGCGGCCAGGCGGAGGAACGCGTGATGCTCTGAACCTTTGCTTCCTGGTATCTTTATTTTTGCCTTTTAGGTTTTGTGATGACAACCTTCTTGAAAACCTTTAGTCCCTGATTCTCTCTTCTGCTTATTTGCCTTTTGCTTCTGTTGCCTAGCTTATTGTTTCACTTCTTTTCCTCGCTTCTGTATGCTTTGTATGCTTGGCCCTGATTGCTTCTTTTCCTCGCTTTGCTTGCTTGCTCCTATTTGCTTCTGTATGAGATACTTGATGATGTGTTGAGGTATTTGGTATGTTGTGCCCTGTGATGAGGTTACCTCTAAGGGCCTTTGGGATTGAATGCTTCTGTGTTGCTATTGTTGAAATGTCAGTTTTGACTAGCTTCCCCTCTCTTGGCTTTGTGCTAGCTTTAGATGCTCAATGATGAACTTTCCTAGTTCTGAGAGCTTTGTTGATTTGAGTGTTTTGCGCCTTTTCTAGTTTTGATGACAGGCTGATTGCAGTTTTAGAGCTTGTTATGTTATGTATGGCTTAAGGCTTGCTGCAGATTTGAGCTTTAGTTTGTGTTTTGAAATTGGTCATAGGCAGGATGATGGCTTGACACAGTTTGTGGCTTTATTTGGTGTTTTGAAACTGGTCATAGGCAGGATGATGGCTTGACACAGTTTGTGGCCTTTTTCTGGTTTAGTGCCTTTTGTTAAGTTACAGTTTGAGGCTATGGCTTTTGGTGAGAAGCAGGTTATGGTTTGGAGTTTGATGTTCTGGTTTGAATATGTTAGCAGGTTGTGAGTTTGTGTTTGTCACAGGTTTGGGCAGGATGTAAGCTTGAGGCTTTAGGCTTGACAGTTTGATGTTCTGAGTTGTTTTGGGATACAGGTTTGGAGGCTTTGAATGCAGGTTTAAGGTTTGAAGCCGGTTAGCAGGGGTTTGTTGTTTTGAGCTTTATCAGCTTTGAACTGGTTTGGCTTTAGGTTTGAAGCTTGTGGAGGCAGCCTGCTTTTTGGTTCTCTACAGTTTGTGGTATTTTCTTTTGTGATATCTCTGCCCCCTTGAAACTGTGCTGGTATACTTTCTTTATATCTTTAGCCTAAGCCCTGTAAGCCTTTATTTTTCTCTCTTTTCTCTCTCTCTTGACAGATTAAAAAAAAGAATTTTATTGCTTAAGTTTGTCTTATGCTGAAAAAGTAACTGGCTTTTGGGAAATGATGATTTGAATATTGCTTGTATTAGTTGCTTAGCTTTGCATATCTCTTATCCTCTTTTTCCAGATTTTCTGCTTCTTTGTGTACTTCTTTGAAAGTT